AGATGCTGGGGGGAGCAGGGGGCACATGGGGGTTACAATGGTGGGAAAGGGCAGGGGGGTACAGGGAAGATCCTGGAGGGAAGCAGAGGGGTACATGTGGGTTGCCAGGGAGGCCCAGGAGGGAGACATGGAGGTGGGGGAGTCCTCCACACGGCTCCAGACTGGCAGCAGGGCTGGGGGCCTGTGGCCGGATCCCTGTCGCCTCCCCCATCTGCCAGAGATGTGCTGCACTTAGCTCCAAGGCTGCCAAAGGCCCAAGCCCCCTTTCATGCCTGGAGCTGGGGCCTGTGGTCCCTGTGCCCCTCAACTGCATTGGTCCCCGCAGGGCTGGCCTCAGAGGTGGGCGGAGGATGTTGAATTGAATTGAATTTTGTGTCATTTCCTTTTTGTAAATTATAAAAACTTTTGAGATTGCAGCTTTGTTTCTGAAACTGTGGCTAACACCACTACCTATTTATACTCAAAGACAAGGCGCCAAAATACAGGTTTGCCCAGGGCACGTGGTCAGCCCCCGTTGGGCTGTGTCCTGCGGCATCACTGCTCTGTTGCTGTTTTGGGTGCAAAGTTGCAAACATTCGCAGTCTTCAAAGAACTTCACTTGCTGCCCTCCTCACCCGAGAGAGCCCCTGGATGACCGGGAAAAAACAACGGCAGTAAGATATGCCCAAGTTCTGCTATATGGCATTTATCATAGGCCAAGAAGGGGAATTTCTGCCCAGGCCTTCCTGTTTAAATAGCACCTGCCTTTTGTCATGGAGGGAAAGAGAACCTGACAATGAGAAGGATTCGACTGTGGAGGAGCCCCCAAGGGAACGGGCTGAAGTCCTGTCATGTGGGGTGTTTAAAAATAAGCAGGATCAATACTAGGAAACCGAGCTGGATTGGGAACCAGTGTCCCCAGACCCCTAGAGAAAGCAAATGTTTCGTCACTGGGAAATTGGGGTGGGGGGGATGGAGATATTTAAATTGCATCTGGAACTGGGATTCTCACCTGTCGTTACAGAAGAAAAGGGGAAAATCCCAATCATTTTAACCTCTGCAAAACACTTCTGAGGTCCCCAAACTTTCCTCAGCTGGCAGCAGGCTGGGAGGCTCAGGGAGCCTAGGAATTTCTGCCAACCTGTATCTTTTGTGACTCCTCTGAACAGACTCATTTTTAGATGAAAGGAAGGATTGTATGATGTACCTCCCCCATCCCCCGCGCTCCGTGTCCCTTCTCATAAAATAAGGGCACCTGAAATATTGGGTGTAACGAGAACACCTGCAAGTATGCAACTGGAGCTCAACGGTTGCAGGTGCCTTGAAAATATTTTGTATTGTCAAGGCAATCCCGGTAGAGACGTGGACTTCAAAGCACTGTGAAAAATCCAGTTTGAAATAGCAAATTAGACCTGATCTTATGGTACTATTGCCCTGCTCTAATGTAATTTGGGATCTACTTCTTAATTCTTCTTCTTTTCATGTCTATGCTGTCTTTTAGATTCAGTTCAATTAAAATGATTTCAAAGAGTATTTATATCCAGGTAATGCACCGCTGTCAATGTATGGAGAAAAGAAATGCAACATTCCCGGAATGGGGGGTTGGGGAAAGCATTTGAAAGAAATCTGCAGTAAAGTATCTAAAAGCACCTGTAACACACCTCCCTCCATACAATGACTTGTAAATATTTGCTTCGACGCCCTTTTAAATCAATGGCAATTGAAGCGGGCACTACAAAAAAAAGAAAAAAAAGAAAAAAAAAAGAGTCTCTTCTTTAAACGAAGACGTTAAGAGCAAAATCTTTACTGCATGAAATCCGTGGGGAGACGCATGTAGAGGTATAAATTGTACAGGGTCTCCCAGTGAGTTTTTCTCATTCATGGTGGTGCAGGGAAAGGACGCATCTTCTTTAAATCAGGAGGGAAATATAACCCCCGCTGAAAAACCTTCGCATCCAGTCTTTGAGATGAATTGAGGAGCCTTGAAAAGGAGCTTCTTTAAAGTGGCGCTTCAGCGTGTTTGACTTCAGCTGTGATGCTTCTCATCACTGCAGTTCTTCGTTGCTCAACGGATTTTACACGTCCGTTTTCTGCCCGCGTCCCATCGGCTAATGAAATGGTATAAAGAAACATTTATCTTCCCCATCTTAATGGAAGAGGAAAATGAGCACGAGTCAGAAAGTTATTAATTAACAGGGCCATTACTGGGTTCCCATAACTGGAGAAGGAGCAGATGGGTTTAATACTTGCGGGTAGTGAGGAAATGATCTTTTATTCCACTTATTGCTGAGAAAAAGATTGCCAGAATCAACTGAAGCCTTTGTTATTTGTCCTTTATTATGATCCCCCCTCCCCATCTTTCTTCCTTTGGATTTTGTACTTCCTGTAAGAAAATATTTCATTTCCCTATTATTAGGGCTATTGTATGTAGTGTTAAGGTTCGCTTGCGATGCAAACGGGGATCTTTGTTGCCGAAATGCCAGTCGAAAGTCCTAGTGCATGTGTATGAGTGTGTGAACTGGAAAGCTGCACACTTTCTGCATATTTGGACTGAGCTGTATAGCCCTCTCCTCCCCAGTCCCATCCAGACTGGGACACTGGCACTCCCTAATCTGACCGCCTCCTCATCCAGACCCCCACGTACCCACACTTCTGCCACCTGACCCCTCCAACCTGTGCTTTCTCTAGTACCCCCCTCACAGCTGCACATTACCCCCCATTTTGGCCAACCCCCTCCCTGTAACCAGGCTTTTTGCCCCCAGCATTGGGCAGGCTCACCTCCCAGCTGAGACTCCATTTACACCTAAGATTTGGGTTTATAATCAGGTATCCAACCCCCTGGCAAGCTGTGATTTTTGTAGGAAGGAGCCGGGGCCAATCCCCAGCACACATATATAGAATCCCTGGGGTACCAATCTGAGTACAAATTGGTATTTTCTGATTGCCAGCAAAATCCCCAGGGGTCTGACCATTGAAGCCTAGAGCATTCCCTGAAATTTTGGAATAAGTTGGATGCAGCATTCAAAACTTGTCGTGTTATAGCCAGACAAACACAGGAAAATGTCATCAAACTGAGTGTAAAGCCTCAAATGAGTGTAGATAAACCACTCATTAAATTAAATATCCGTTTTTGTCCTAAAGTTAAAAAAAAAACCAAAAGCCTGAAATGTCATGTTTGGGGTAAAAATATTTCACCCGACCAATTATTTGCATTGTTTTAATGGGTAGCTCCCTAGCAGACCCTGAATCAACTGTATACAATTCCCCCTGTTTCTGGGAGCATCTACATGTGCTGGTAGTGCTCAAGAAGGTTACTACACATTAAAATGAGGCACCGTAAACTGCGCCTGGGAAGGCATCTATGCTTGCACCCACTTGGGAGCAAATTTGCTCCCGACAGGTGTGCCCTCACAAGCAAGAACGTGCATTTCCCTGGGGACAAGTAACAGCAGCACAAATTTGTGCCACTGCTAGTTGTCCCCAGGAACGGCTCTGCATGCACTGGGTCTGGCTCATAGCAAATTCCCCTGGGGAGGGGGGGTGGTCCTGGGGGCCTCCCAGGGCTGCAGCAGTGGCGATCCAGGTGTGCAGAGCTTGGCTGGCAGCTGATATATGGTTCTGGCCAGCCAGACTCTGGTTTCAGGTGGTGCACACTGCAGACATGCACCATCTCTGGTGTAAAAAAACCCCACCATGCTGCAAATTAGCAGCACAGCAAATGCATGCATGTACAGTTTGCAGTGCGCAGATGGGTTTACAGCCACAGACCACACAAGCAGGCTCATGGCAACATGCCCAATGGGAGCAGTTGAGACCAGGGATACTCCTGCCCCTCTGCCTTCTCTGCCCCACTGAAGCAGCCAGGGGTGCAGGGGGCGTGGGGCTGCTCGCGATCCCTGCATGGGGATTGGGTTCGGTCCCTGCCAATCTCCACTTGGCTGCCAGATAGCATCCCTGCCGGGGTTGCCATGTGGGGATCGGGTCCCAACACAGTCCCCATGTGGCTGGGATGGAGCAGAGCCAGCTGGCAGGACAGCTCT